TAGGACCGACGCGCACCAGTGCCCCCTTAGTTGGTGCTTTATAAGAGAAGATGGAGACTCAAGCAAAAATAAAAATTGCATAAAGTAAATAGATAGGCCCTCGCAGAGGAAAGTAGGGATTTGTAGAGGTGCCAGAGCTCAAAGCAAAAATTAAGGGATAAATGTTTTTGAGAGGCATACTTTTCCCGTCAACAAAAACGACAAAGTAATTCTCAACGCTTTCCATGCTAGATATATCATAGGCAGTTCCCAAACAGAAAATAAAGTGTATTCCTTTTTCCACCATTCTTTCACAATCCATGGCTAGTTGTATCCACGGGTGCCCTCCATACCAACGCTTTCCAAGGAATTTATTATTTGACAACGTAAAGTAAATTTCTTTTTCATTTCGGGACTGGGCATACCTAATACCTTTACCACACTCCCGTGTAATGACAAGTGAATAAACACTCATCTTGAGAATAACACATCTAGCATAGAAAATATTGGCCACCCCTTGTCGCTTCATGAGCGGTACGAGCACACAAAAGGGAAATCTATTTTGAAAATTAGAGATGGCACATGCAAATTTGCTTAGAACGACACAGAAATACCACATATAGGTAGGTATGATGGACTCATGTGGCAAAACTGGTTTAAAGGATTTTGGATGCACAAGTAGTATTTCTACTTAGTACAAGTGGAGGCTTGCAAAAAGATTGAGAAGCAACCAACCAAGAAACAAAAAATCACATAAGCGAGTATTAAGCATAACTAACACCAAATAATGCACCACAAGTAGGATATAATTTCATTGCATAACTATTGACTTTCGTGCTTGCATAGGGAATCACAAACCTTAACACCAACATTCTCACTAAAGCATAATTACTCACCAACATGACTCACATATCACTATCATCATATCTCAAAACTATTACAAAGAATCAAGTTTATTTTGTCCAATGATCTTCCTGAATTTTTTTATTATATCCCTCTTGAATATCTATCACTTTGGGACTAATTCATATGTTGCTTTTGATAGCTCAAACAAATCTAAGTGAAGAACATGAGCATAAAAATTTTCGTCTCTCAAAATAATATAAGTGAAGTATGAGAGAATTTTCTTCAAAATTTTACTAACTCTCAAACAAATCTAAGTGAAGCATGAAAGCATTTCTTAAAAAAAATTAAAGCACACCGTGCTCAAAAAGATATAAGTGAAGCACTAGAGCAATTCCATAGCTCAAAAAAATTAAGTGAAGCACATAGAGCAATTCTAACAAATCATAGAATAATTTTGGCTCTCAAATAGGTTTGTTCAGCAAGGATACTTGACACAAAGCAAAAAATAAAACAGGCAAAGACTCATATAATACAAGACGCTCCAAGCAAAACTCATGATATGTGACGAATAAAAATATAGCTCCAAGTAAAATACCGATGGTCGTTAGAAGAAAGAGGGGATGCCACTCGGGGCATCCCCAAGCTTAGTTGCTTGTTTCTCCTTGAATATTATCTTGGGGTGGCATCCCCAAGATTAGGCTCTTCTTACTCCTTATTCCTTCATCCATCATGATCTCACCAAAAACTTGAAAACTTCAATCACACAAAACTTAACAAAACCTTCGTGAGATCCGTTAGTATAACAAAGCAAATCACCACTCTAAGTACTGTTGCAAACCCATTCATATTTTATTATTGCATTATATCTACTGTATCCCAACTTTTCTATGGCCCATAACCCCTGATACAACCCATAGATTCATCAAAATAAGCACACAATGCATCGAAAACAGAATCTGTCAAAAATAGAACAGTCTGTAGCAATCTGAAAACTTAGTATACTTCTGTAACTCCCAAAAATTTGAAAATTAGGAGAACATAGGAAATTTCTATATCAATCTTGTGTAAAAAATTAAGAATTTTATCATGCTTCTGTAATTTTAAACAATCCTATTACTGGCGCACAAAGTTTCTATTTTCAACAAGTTCAAATCAACTATCACCCAACATGATCCCAAAGGCTTTACTTGGTAAAAACACTAGAATAGATCTCAAAGCAAATATGATAAAGAATAGAGGGCCGTAGATTTCACCAGTGGCTTCTCTCAAGAAATAGCACACGGTGGGTAAACAAATTACTGTTGGGAAATTGATAGAACCTCACATAATTATAATGATATCCAGGCAATGATCAATATATAGGCATCACATCTAAGATTAGTAGACCAACTCCTGCCTGCATCTACTACTATTAATCCACACATCGACCGCTATCCAGCATGCATCTAGTGTATTAAGTTCATGGAGAAATGGGGTAATGCAATAAGAACGATGACATGATGTAGACAAGATCTATTCATGTAGGAATATACCACATCTTGTTATCCTTAATAGCAACGATCAATACGTGTCTTGCTGCCCCTACTGTCATTGGGAAAGAACACCGCACGATCGAACCCATCACAAAGCACATCTTCCCATGGCAAGAAAAAACGATCTAGTTGGCCTAACTAAACCAAAGATTCGAATAAGAAATATGAGGCTATGAATAGTCATGCATATAAGAGATCAAAACTCAAATAACTTTCATGGATAAATAGATCTGATCATAAACTCAAAGTTCATCGGATCCCAACAGACACACCGCAAAAAGAGTTACATCAAATAGATCTCCAAGATACCATTGTATTGAGAATCAAAAGATAGAGAGGAAGCCATCTCGCTACTGCCTACGGACATGTAGGTCTACAATGAACTACTCACGCATCATCAGAGAGGCACCAATGAGGATGATGAACCCCTCCGTGCTGGTGTCTAGATTGGATCTCGTGGTTCTGGAACTTGCGGCAGCTGGAATTGTGTTTTGTCGACTCCCCTAGGGTTCTAGAATATTTGGGTATTTGTAGGGCGAAGAGGCGGTGCGGGAGGCCATCGAGGTGGGCACAACCTACCAGGGCGTGCCTGGGCCCCCAAGTGCGCCCAGGTGGGTTGTGCCCCCCACGGGGCACCCACCCCTCTGGTACTTCTTTGGCCCATGTTGTTCCTTCTGGTCCATAAAAATTCTCCAAAAAGTTTCATTGGGCTTGGACTCCGTTTGGTATTGATTTTCCGCGAAGTGAAAAACAAGCAAAAACCAGCAACTGGCACTAGGCACTATGTCAATTGGTTAGTACCAAAAAATTATATAAAGTTGCTATAAAATGATTGTAAAACATCCAAGAATGATAATATAACAACATGGAACAACCAAAAGTTATAGATACTTTGGAGACGTATTAACAGCACATGAAGAAGATTGGCAAAGAAGCTAGGATTGATTTAACCAATAAGAGTCTTCCTTCTTTTGTCATGGATGTTGCCAGCCCCATTAGTTTTCTTTCAATTCTCTGAACCAATGGTAAGCACTGCTCCATAGTAGGTTTGACAGCCCAAGAGGTAGACCAAGGTATGTGAAGGGGAAAGCACCTCTCTTACAGCCCATGTTGTTAATCAACATTTCAGTCATTTCTTCACTAATATTAATTGGAACCATATTGGACTTGTTATAGTTAACCTTTAAACCAGTGGCACTTGCAAAGATGTTGAGTAGAGCTTTAAGGCAGAGAAGTTGTTGAGTGTCTGCTTTCATGAGGACAAGAGTATCATCCGCATATTGCACAATAGGGAAGTATGGGCAACTTGTAACATGCAATGGTGAGCTCACAAGTTGTTTAGTCATGGCCAAGTTTAATACTGACTGGAGAAGAACTGCAGCTAAGACAAAAGGCAAAGGGGAAAAAGGTTCTCTTTGCCTAACTCCTCTCTTACAGTAGAATTTCTTTCTGGGTACCCCATTGAGAATAATTGAGGAAGATGCAAAGTTGAATAATAATTTCATCCAATTAATCCATCTGTTTCCAGAGCCTTTTGCTCTCAACATTTCCAAAATCGTTTGATGTTCTAAAGTGTCAAAGGCCTTTTCAAAATCAAGTTTAAGCACCACAACTTGCTCTTTTGATGCATGTCATCGATGCAAATACCCATATGCCCAGCCCAAGCAGTCTTGAATTGCTCTTTATTTGAGAAAACCATACCAATTGATGTGGACTATCTTCAATATAATCTTCTGTAATCTATTGGCCAACAAGTTGGTAATGATCTTAAGGCAACTATTGAGTAGTGAAATTGGCCTAAAATCATTAGGACTTAAAGGGTTATCCATTTTTGGAATTAGTGTGATATAAGAAGAGTCTATGCTTTCCAAGTTTACATTACCCTCATAGAAATCATGGATTGACTTTCCGATGTCTGGCCCAATAATATCCCAACAAGCTTTGTAGAATTCATTGTTAAAGCCATTTGGACCTGGAGATTTATCATTTGGTAGCTCCTTCACTACATCATTAATCTCTTGATTAGTGAAAGGTCTCTCATACTGATTTTGGACACCTCATGCTGATTTTTATGCCATAATTTTGCATTGAATTTGAGTCAAACTGGATATTTAGAAACTGAATCTTTTGACACTGGACAGGTGTGAAATGAAACTTTAATGAGATTTTTTTGAACACACTAACTACAGTTAGACTAAGGGTCAGTTCTTTTGAGGCTTATGAGTGGCTGCAAATATAAGGCCCAAAAAGAATTGCCCCTAAATGTTTTGACACACTAAAACTGCACTGAGTTAGATTTTTGTTGATTGTTAGAATGACAATGTAACCTGAATTTTTGTTGAGTGTTTGAACAACTAACTGAATTTTTAGTGCACTCCCTCTAACTAGGCTTTTTAGTGCATTTTTTGTTCACTGAAGGTAACTGAACTTTTTACTGCATTTTTGGTGTGATGTAGCTAATTGAACTTTTTTCCGAACAACTAATTGAATTTCAGTTGCACTGAATGTTTACTGTATTGCCAACTTCACCCACAACATTCACTCCCTTGCATTCACCACTCGCTGACTCTCTTTCACCATGGAGCTCCCCACCACTCTCTCTTTCTCTCTCAGCATTGATCTCTCTCACCACCGCTCGGGAAGATGAAGGGGGCGAGCTGGACGGCGCTGGTGGTGGGGTACACGCAAGGCGATATGCTGAAGTTCGCGAAGATGATGGAGATTACATCATGGTTCCCCAATGTCAACGATCTGATCCAGGGTAGCGACGAAAGCACACCAAGCGGATATTTGTGTCTGGTTTTGCTCCTCCCATCAAGATCCTAGTGTGAGTGATGGATGAGGCAGATCAAAAGATGTGAAAGTGCATCTAATCCCCAAGGTGTATTTCAATAATTCATGCCAACATATTCTGAAGAACTAACTATGCTTCAAGTTTATTTCAGACAAAGTTCTTCATAGAAACAACATTGGAATGGAAGGTGACCCCTAAAAAAACTTCAAGTGTTGGTCAAGCCATGTGATTCTTCATTTTTATTTTAGTAATTCGAGGTCACATTGAGTCCTTAGGCATGTTGATACTACTAGAAGGGATGAGGGTGTGACGACGAGCTCTTTGCTCTAGGTGCTTAAAGATCAAACTCCAAAAACTCCTCAAACCACCTCAAGAAATTCCACTATACCTACCTATTCTCTTTCACCTCGGTGCCACCAAACCACTTTCATCCGGAGCCACCGAGAAACTCATATAGGTGTTTGTTTCAAAACCTTATTTGTTCCGAGCCTCCAACATTCCACTCAGACTCACCGAAGCAACATGGTAAACCTTCTGTGATCATGTTAGAAATTCCAAGCAAAACCAGTCGAAACTTCCTAAGCGACTACAAAGAATGTACCACGTGCTAAAAAGGATATTTTTTTTAAAGGAAGCTATGAAACGGTACTCCAGGATTTTTTTTTGAGATAAATAGGTACTCCTAGATTTTTGAGAATTATGTACTCCTAGATTTTTTTTGAGGCAACTTATGTACTCCTAGATGACTTTCATATTAATTTTCTTGACCCGAAGCATTCTATTGACCTGAAGCATGGCCGGCCGGGAATGAGCAACATGGTACCGAGCCTATCAAACACTCACCTGGCCCATTCGGCCCAGGGTCCAGGACGACCGCCCCCATTCCTCTCTCCATTCAAAATCCCCTCCCGTTCATTCCAAACTCCAGCCTCTCCAGTAATCGATCCCCTTTCTCTCCCTCTCCTTTCTCCAGCCAACAAACATGGTAAAGAAGCAGGAACCCTCCACCCCGGCGGCCGGCGGGACGCAGTGGAAGGGGCGGCTGCGCTCGCACCACGCGACTCCGCTCAATTCTCCGTCTCCGTGGATCCAGTCCCCATCCAGGAACCGGGACGAGGACGCGGAGGCCTCCAAGTTCAAGAAGCAGGCCGCCCCCACAACCCCGGGGAGAAGCCGATGCACCCGCGACGAGAGCGGCGGAGCTGCGGGACGACCTCCGAAGGCTCTCCCACGCCGGTCGGCGCGGCTTACCGGCCGGGATCCGGACCACCATATTGTGCTCGACGAGGCGGAAGAGGTATAGGGGGGCAAATCTCTTCCTGGTTGCAGATACCGGCTCCAATCTGGGGGCACGGGATGTTACGTTTATGTGCTTAGTTTCCTCCTCTTCTGCGCATTTTAGTTGCCTGAGAAGGAGATTTGGCCACGTTGTTTAGATCTTTCTCCACTAGTTAGACAAAACCCAATTTTCTTCCCAAAATTTGTCACCATTTCTTGATTTCTGGGGATTCCGTGACAACAACCAACTATCAATGGTTTAACATATTCCAGTATGTCATGCTACCAAGTACAATCTTGCTCTATTCCTTATATATTCTACTTATCCAACAACAGATTAGTTTCTTCCACCCCCCAAAACAAAGATTAGTTTATATGCCACTAATAGTTTGTTCACCCGCCTCTTGATTTTATCCATTTCATGCCTGTCCGATCATCATATTAATAATCTAACATGCTTGCTAACTGGACTGCTTCATCCATTTCACGGTTGGCACTTGATTACAAATATCATAGTTTATCATTGGATGATTCTGTTCGGATCTTTCAATGGCATAGCTTGCGGCAACAGTGTTTAAGTTTTACCTTCTGTTGCAGGAATGCGAAGTCAGGGGTAACCAATGGGCGATTACGCCTGTTCAGAGATCTACACGGTTCCAACGAGGTGATAAGAGTGTGAGCAAGCCCTTAGTGGAGAAGCAAAGTCACCACAAACTGCTGCCGTTCACACCAAATCCCCGCGACATTCCCCATAACAGCAAGACTCAAAATGCTGTTAAGAAAGACAAAAAACTAGAGAATCCACCAAGGAGTAGCCAGAGAATTGCTGCAGTAAAAGCTTCTGCAAGGATGGAAAAACACAATAAGCTCCAGACAGTGTATGAAGATTCCCAAGATGCTCCTGCCAGGAGAAAGACTGCAGATGCATCTTACAAAAAGAGTGAGATGCAAGAGCCAAAGCCCAGTCGTGGTGAGGAGCTGACAGGAAAGAGGAAGAGAGGCACCGGAAGAAAGCAGGCATCAAGGAAACAAACTCACAAGGAGCACAAATCTGATTGTCAAGAAATTGTACCCATCACTGAACCCAGAAACATCATCCACAAGAAGAGTGAAAATAATCCTTCTTCCATAGTGCAGCCTAAAATTGGTGATGATATACTGATGAACACCAAGGAATGCAGTGAAGAGCTAAGAGGGATTAAAGAAGGGGTACAGCAACAGTGTTGCGCGTCAGATGAATGGACAGAAGAGCAGGACACTATATTGCGCCAGGCTTACTTCACTGCTCGACCATCCCCACATTTCTGGAAGAAAGTTTCTAAAATGGTATTTCCAATCCTTCGATTTTGTTCATTTAGTGGTTTGATGATCATATCTTGGTAGTTGCAGACCTGTTTGATATCTAGTTGCACAAGCTGCCTTGAGAAAGCATAATAATAAATAATTAGAATGCTGCAGTTAAAATGTTGCTCTCAGAATGGGGTTTCCAGTTTTAAAAATGTGCATGAATGTGCATGAGTTATTCATGGATCTTGGTGCTAGACTTTGTGATATTCCACTGCATTGTTTTGTTGAGTTCCTTTTGTTAAGCAGTCAATATAAATCATGTATACAACATTGAATGTCCAACAACAACAACAATAACAACAAAGCCTTTCAGTCCCAAACAAGTTGGAGTAGGCTAGAGTTGAACATACTGAAAACACTTCCAGAGTCTAACTACAACATACCAGTAGTGTCTGAATGATGAATAAGTCAAATAGTAGCAGTAGGATAGTTGTATAGTTTGTTGGACTTCTGTGTTCTTCCATTTTTGGCTTTCTTTTCTGCCTTTGTTTGAAGGCTGTAAGTTCGGTGTCATTTGGATGTTTTCTTCTAATACGAGATGATGCATATTTAGGCGCGTATCTGAGAAATGAAAAATTGTAGAGAGCGTTTTCTGGGAATGTGGACAGCTGGTAATATTTACAAGGGTTGGTTAATAATCATACTGAAACATAACATTTCACGCTGTATTTGTTTTTTTGCATTGAAGGGGAAGAATTAACAGTCAATAGAATGTTGTCTGTTTATTATTTAATGTGCACATGTGAGTGATCCTCTCATCACATGTTGACACCAACATGGATGTGAAAAACTGGTCATCAGAAGATTGTTAATGTTGCTAGATACAAGATACATGCAAAAACAAAAATACTTTGAGCACAGGTTCAAAAAATATAGTACTGTGAGCTTAGATAACTAACATTTTGGTGCTGCTCTTTTAGTAGTCTCACATGGAATTGATTTCAGCCATTTCTAGTGATGCTTACCACATGTCATATCCGACAACATGTCACGTTGCTTTGACAATCTATTTTGTACTTCAATACTCAAAGTAGTATGTCCTATAGATTACTCAGTATTTTCCTAGGTGACTTGTTACTTTATTATTTTTGTTAGTTCAGCAATTTGACACACATCCTTTCAGGTCCCAGGGAAATCTGCTGAAGACTGCTTCAATCGAGTTCATGCTGACCTCTCAACGCCCACTCCAATCGCCCCTCGTCCTCGAAGTAAAACACAGTTTTCTCCTCTAGCACATTTCACATTGTCTGATCCAAAGTTTCCAAACCTTTTGGAACCTCTAGCCGGAAGACCAAGGACTGCCAAACAAAAGAGCCTATTAGCACAGAAGACAGTGAGACATTTGCTTAAGAAGCATTCCCTCATTGACCAAGCTCAAGAGGCTGATCACTTCTCGCTATTTGAAACTTCACCGTCTGCTTTACAATTGAACATTCCTCTTGACGATTCTCCTGGGACCCCTGACAATTATCTAAAGTCCTTTTCCCTGCACAAGTACAGCGCGAGTTCTTCAGCACGTAAGAGACCGTTGTCAAGGTTGAAAACTAAGCAAGCTGAACCGAGTCCAGCAGTTCTGAAGCCTCTAAAGAATACTGTTTTGCATGAGAAGTACATTAATCAGTTGACCCGAAGAGATGGCGCAAAAAAGCCTCGTAAGAAGGCTGCTGGCACCAATGCAACTGATCCTGAGAGGCCTCTCTCGGAGCAGCGAGCTGGTAGTGTGAAGGCTGCAAAGAATGCTCTCATTTCAGAAGCAACAGACTTCATAGGCCAGTTTAAGAAGTTGCAAGCCAATTCCCTTGCACACGTTCTGGAAAACAGTGAAGACGACGAGGATAATTCGGTGTAGTGTCATACTAGTGGTTCCAAGCTGCTTTTGGCATATAATACTTGCCCCTCAATGTTAAAGCAGCTAGATAGCATGTTATCAACTAACTTTAGCTAGTACAATAAGACTGTAAGAGACTGACGATAAGTCACGGATTTTATCGCTCAGTGTATTCTGTCAAGGAAGCTATCAACGCATTTCTAGCATATGAAGGTCATGGTTATCACTTAGTATCACATACTACAACTTTTGTGTGAATAAAAGAACATACAACTATGTTCACTTCATTTTTTGTACATTTCAGGCCCATTTACATTCAGTTAAACTGTTTGTGATGCATGCTTTATAATAAGACCAGAAATGGCATGCAAGGTAATTCTCAGAGATAATAAAAGAATGTTATTCCCTATGTCAACAAAATATGGCTGATGATCGTACAGACAATGTGATATATACTGTTAATCATTCTTTTAATAAAGCCTATGCAGGTCAGGTGTTCCTCACTTCCTCTAATAGATTTATATTGCCTCAAATAGTCCTTTTTCACACAACAGCTCGAGGCGTGCAAGAGAAATACATCCATTTCGTTCTTGATATTCTTTTCCCACATAATTATAAATTTTCCGAAGTCCCTTAGTTCGAAACATAGGAAGGTTTTGCTTTTACCAAAAGATCAACCAAACGATTACATCCCACAATGGTTAATCCAGGCCACGAATAGTTCTAAGGCATCATCATGCAAAAGGTATGCCATGTTCTGTCAACTAATTACACAACACAATTCGAAGACACACAATAAATTATTGGGAATAGAGAGTCTGAAAAGGCTAACAAAACATGCATAACAATAAACTAAACTAATGTCATCGCAAAATGGGTACTCGATCATAAGTAAACGCTCATCCGGACAAGGGGAGGTAGAAAGTACTACCTCCATCCGGGTTTATTCGTCGTCTTTGTTTTTATGCCATATATTGACTGTAGATTTGGCTGATAAAATATAAGTTGTATGTCACAAAACTTATATTGTTGGATTCATATTCGAAACGGGTTTTCAGTGATACTATGTTTGATCTAAAATAAATCTGGACAGAGATAGTAACATTTAAGTGTTCTTCAGTAATCGAGGCCCACTACTTTTTCAGTTCACTAGTCTTTACTTATGTTGGTCATAGTGGAGTAACTTAGCTAGTAACGTAATGCATCGCAATACAAGTTTGCTTATGTGGCAAGCATTTAATGAGAAGATAGGTGTTTGCAGTAGTAACATAATGCACCTCAAAGCAAAATGAGTTTTTTTTTGCAGGTGAAAGCAAAATGAGTCTACATCTAAATAAATGAAGACTGCACGACACCAGTAACATATGCGTGATACTAGTATATGGTACTACCCACTATGAGTAGCCTAACATAATGCACCTCAAAGCAAAATGAGTCTACATCTAAATAAATGAAGTATTGCATGACACTACACATACATTACTACTCATTATGTATATATTAGGGCATCTCCAACACCGACCCGCATACGTTCTGCATGCGTCCGGACCGTGTTGTCCGGACATCAGAAGTCATCCAATGCGGGCCTGTATTGGTCCGCGGCACAGTCCGGACGTGATTTCTCCTGCAAACCAGAGACAAATGCGTGGGGGGGTGGGGGTGGGGGGCTTTGTGGGAGTCCGAACCAATCCCACGCTCGCTTTTGACACCCTTGGCCCACCAAAACCCCTTCTCTCGTCTGCGCACGTTCCTCTTGGCGCCAGCTGCCCGCATTCATACTGCTGTAGAGCGCGTCGCTCAACATTGAAGACGGCTCAAGGCGGAAGCGACCTCTCACTGTCTCCGCCATTGAAGCGGCGCGCCGGCCATGGGCACTGCCCGCGACGTGTCTCCGGTGTCCGCGCATGTTCAATGCATGCATGATTGGACGGAACGGGACGGATATCTAACACGCCCGTTCAATGCCGTTGTCCGTCTGTATGCTGCCACTAAGCAGGCTCGCTGGCCGAGAAACCCACTCCGACGCGTCCGAGGTCTCCGAGGACGAGGACGATACCACCATGGATACGGGCTCCGATGACACCACCCGGCTCCCGCGCCTCCTGTGCATGCCGGCTTCACCATGGAGCAGGAACAGGCACACTACAACGTCGCCATTGCGGAAGTGCGGCTTGCGCTAGCGCCTTTGTCGGTGTTCCAGCAGGCGCAAGAGGAACAGTGGTACAACCTGTTCCTCATGGAGCAGCATCGGCTGGCTGAGGGCCAGATCTACGACAAGTGTGCGAGCGAGGATGCCGTGGCAAAACATAACTTCGTCGCGGAGCAGCGTGCCATCTACAATGTCGTCCGCGCTCAAGCCGCCACTCGCCAGGAAGCGGCCGCCGTGGAGGCACGGTTGCAGGTGATCGCGGACGAGAACAACGCCAACTGCGCCTCCTACGCGCCGCCGACGAACCATCAGTTGGTCTCGTGGGATGGCAACAACGTCGACGCCACCATTTCCATCATGGACCTCACGTCCACCGGCGACGGGCAGGTCGCGTACTCCTCCGAGGATGAGTAGACCACGGGAGGCAGCAGGACCTTGTGTCCCATGTGGGCCAGTTCGTCTCCCGTGCTCTACTCTTCCTCGCCGGAGACCGAACCTTCACTTCATCGATTTTATCGCCGGTGCTCATGGAGACGGCGGATGGAGGACAATACGGGCTTGGACGCCAGGCGCCGCCACCGTAGGATAAGTTTAGGGTCAGGTCGTTTTCTTTTTCTAAATGTTTGAAATGTAATGAAAATCCACCCTGATTGTATGAAACCCGTCATGTTTATATGAAATCTGGTCTTGTTTGCACGAATTTCATCCGGTTTGTTGAAAAAGAGTTTGAAATGTATATGGCTACACTTAGATGGTGGCCTCTCGCATCCGTGTCCGCGGATTGGTCCCGTATGCGTGAGAAAATTTGCAGGTTGCCGTTGAAGATGCCCTTGCTACTCATTATTATGAAGGTACTGTAGTAACACATGCATGCCTAATCTAAGTTGATTCTCGCTGTTACCAGCCTAAGTAAAGCGCGGTGTAACATGGCCCGTACGCTGCCCCTCCGCCGGCTCAGGGACACCCAGTGCTCATCGCCAGGCTTGGCGGAGATGACGAGCCACTTCCCATTATTCACGCAGAGCTGGAGGGTCGGCGGGGAGGTGGAGTCGTCGATGCTGGCGAAGTCCATGACCGTGCCCTCGGCGGGGTAGCCGGACTTGTAGTCGTCCGTGGCGAGGTAGGCGTCCGGGTCAACGCCGAGGCCAGGGAAGCGGGCCTTGAAGGCGTCCATGCCGAGACGGGCGCTCGGCTCCGCGCCATCGTGGGGCCGCACGTCGGTGATGTCGGGGAACTCGGCGAGCGCGCCGGTGAACGGGTGAAGGAGGCGGACGGTGCAGGTTGCCTCGTCGCGCATGACGAGGAGGCCGGAGGCCACGCTGAGGAGGCGGCTGGTGGAGAATATCTGGTGGTGGACTCTGACGACGCGGGCCCTGGCGGTTGCGTGGACGAGGCGCCGGCGCGACGGGGGCTCCCCTCGGTTGGGCAGCGGGAACCAGCCGTGCGGGCGGAACCGGCTATCCAGGACGCCGTGCGCCCGCGGGTCCTCGCTGAGCTCGCGCCAGGGCTTGCACACGGCCCTGAAGCGGAATACTCCGACACGTTGTGGGAGAGGAGCCGGACGGCGACGTCGTCGGCGATCTCGGTCGTCAGGTTCGCCCAGTCCCTCCATTCGGTCTCTCCCGGATGGCCGGTGCGATGCGCGCCGTCGGTGGAGGAGCGGGGCTCATGACCGGGGAGGCGCGCGGCGGTACAGCGGCGCAGACCCTGACGCGGTCGCTTCCTCGGGTGGCCAGATCCGGCGCAAGGAGCCGGTGGATCGGCAAGGCCCAAGCGCCGCCGCTGCCCTCGCGTCATCATCCTCTCGGATCGCCGGCTCCGTCTGTTCTCCCTTGTGCGAGACTCCGATCTGACTTTCGCGGCGGCGCTGGCGTATTAACCCCTGCGAAAAAATATATATAATCTATACGGATTATTATGGATATTCTTTAGGTATCAGCAAAAGAATTACTAAATAAGACGAAATATATCGAAAATACACGACGGCAAATGGATTTAGGATAACCGAATTTAAAAATAGTAAAAAGAACCAAAAAAGGTGAAACTTTGTCGAAACAAGCATTGTCTAGTGTATCATTCACATGTAAAGTTTCGTGACAAAATGACTTTCGTGATATTCTGAACGAATAAAAGCAAAATTGATAATATATTAATCTTACTATTTACACAGTTTGTAGTTGCAATTTTGTATTATTTGCCAACAATACCACAAAATTCACTTTGTCGCGAAACTTTGCACATGAGTGATACACTAGACAATGCTTGTTTTGACAAAGTTTCATATTTTTCTTAAAAAAAGTTATTTGCTATTTTTTTTTTGCCTAATCCAGTGCACGGTACACCCATGTTTTAAAAGTCTGCACCGAAATATATAGACAACACATAAAGACAAATTTCTGGCTCAAAAACAACAACAAAATGAACTTTTGCAAAAAAAAACGCAAGCCTTTTTTGAGTTAACGAGGTTATTTTGATATTTGTTTTTTTACACACCACATATAAATATTTATTGTAATCTAAAAAGTATAAATATATCTTGCTGAAGATTCATACACACATGTTTATGTATATGTAAAAACAGAATTAGAAAATAAAAAAATAGACCCAAGTTCTTGGTCATGTGGTGTCATTGTTGTACTGTTGAGTGTTCCGAGCTCAATTTGAGCTTTGTAATGTGTTCTTCTTCATCAATGAAATGCAATGTTGTTACTTTTCGTGAAAAAGAAATATCACTTTAAAATTTAAACGTAGGTACATCCAAGTTTTCTTTCCTTCTCCTCGTAAACTGCAGTCAAGGCAAACTCTTTCCATCCAGGCTTCGTCGATGAGCCCATTTATCCGCCTTCCGTATTAAGTAAGGGTTCTTTTAGTCATCGCAAGGTTCATGCTCAAACGGATGGCAGCGTTATTTTTCGAGTTGGTCTTCCAAGCTTTGTTTCTTTTTGAGTTTGTCCATCTGGACGGAGCTCCGTTGTAGTTTATTGGGGTAACAAGATTAGGGTTTTTTGTCATGTGTGCGCAATGGCTATATCTTGTGTTAGGAGCATCAGACCGATTCAACGGAGACGAGCACGACTCCAGGGCGCTGGTCTTTAAGGACACATGCACAAAAGACTTTCATGCTATCATCGACAAGGTCGTGCTGGCTTCGGTAATAGAGCGGCGACATCAGTGCATCAACAGCTCATTTTGGTGATGATAGTGCGTGTTCGGTAGTTCAAAAACCTCAATGTAATTATTATTATATTTAGGGTGCTTTTGTACTTCTAGTGATTCTTTAAATAGAACTTGAGTTTTTTTTGGCAAAAAAGAAGAAGAACAACAACAACAACATGCACACATGCAGGGGCGAATCTACTAGGGGTGCTTTAACAAGCTTAGCCCCCCTCCAGCACTAAAAAAAAGTCTTTTACTACTAGTCTCAAGGCCCAATTTAGTCACTTGTCAGCCCAACCCAACAAATATGTTCACACATACAGGCTTGCGTAAATTTTAAGCCCATCCTTCATTTTCTGTCTATATTCGTCGCTGCGCACATGTTACACCATTTTTGATGAATTCAATTACAAGTTTGTCCTGGCTCGTTGCTGATGCCATGGGTACCAATCAGTCTATGCTCACGTAAAGGAAGGGAAACAGACGGAGAAGTACAATAACAAACTATATGCTGGAATATTTACTTCGGTACCCATGAAACCCGGTAAGCACTAAAATTACTAAAAAAAACCAATTGCAAAAAAAAATCCGATCTTGTTTTGCAAGCAAGATATGCATGTGCATAATGTTCGTGCAAAATTTGATGAAGTTTGAACATTCGAGCAGCGCGTAGAAAAAAAGACAAAATCAGGCGTGAACAATGTTGTTTTCAAATGTTTCTCACATACCCGATCTTTTTCTCACGAGCTCCTCGAATATCCAAACTTCACAAAAATTTGCACGAACATCAAGTATTTGAGCATCTTGCATCACCAAAAAATTGGATTGTTTTCCTTACTTTTGCGATTTTACTGCTCACTGCCGAGCTCATCTGAGCCCGGGCGCCGAAACACGGCTCTCATGCATGCTTGCCAACTTCTTATGTGTACTACCTACCAATCTTTCTTTTTACAGAGAACTATCAATAAATAATCTTCTACAAAACACTTTTAATTCTACTTCCAAAAGTCTGAATTGATGAGGGTTCAGGCAAGAAACACCAGTAAATGGCAGGGTTCAGGTTGTAAAAGTGTACATGTTTGGTTGGGCTGTGTCAAAATTCGCTCTGGTATATACGGCATCTACCGATCCTTGGAACCACTCAAAAAGAAAAAAACCGATCCTTGGAACCACTGCAAGTCCTTTTCAGTTTTGGCCAGCCCAGCTGCCATTTGTCACACTCGCAACACATGCCAATTACGTACGTTGCAGCTCGGAGGGTCGATGGCAGCGGCACCACAGAACTGTTACAGCAGCGCCTCCACCGCACACGGTCTATCATGTCCACGCAGCCTCCGCCGCGTCCCGACGTGCAAAATATCCCTCCGGCGATGCGGCCACCAGCTAGCTGCTGCCCTTCCGCACGCCCTGCCTGCTGCAGATATTTCTCCAGTCCGGTACGCTCACATCACATACCAGTCGGCAATCGCCTGCGTGCACCGCCCGCCATTGTGCTGTGCCACTTCGTCTTGCCGCTTGCACCGCCGGTACCGGCATTCTAGCACGTTGGCATGGCCACCATCACCGCTCCTCCGGCCGCTCTGCAGCCACGCGAGCACGCGAGGCCGGGCCGCGCGCTCCGGTCAGCTCCTCGTGCGTGGAGTGGGAGGAGGAGGTGCTGCCAGGTGATCAGAGCCACGGCGAGCTCCCGCGGCCGACCCGCGGCGACGGGCAGCGGCCAGCTCGAGAGCACGGCGCTCGGGGCGTCGGCGGGCGGCGAGGAGGGCGACGTGATCCGTAGGCTGCAGAACGGGCCGGACGTGCGCGGCGTGGCGCTGGAAGGCGAGAAGGGCCGGGCCGTGGACCTCACGCCGCTGGCCGTCGAGGTGATCGGCGAGAGCTTCGGGGAGTGGCTGCGGGATCAGCGGCGGGAGCGGGAGGGCGAGGACGGGGAGCAGCTGCGGGTGTCCGTCGGCCGGGACCCCCGGCTGTCCGGGTCGCGGCTCAGCGCGGTGCTGTTCGCGGGGCTGGCCAAGGCGGGGTGCGCCGTCTTCGACATGGGCCTCGCCACCACGCCGGCGTGCTTCATGAGCACCATACTGCCCCGCTTCAGCTACGACGCGTCCATTATGGTACACTCCCGCACTCCTGGTTTCTCTTTACGTTCACAGTGAAGGTGAACGGCGTCGTGGTTTTTTCCTAACTGTATACGCGCACAACCTGTATCCTCGCCGCTCATCCAGCATGCAGTCCCATCAGCTTGGCCCACCAGTTGTCAGGCATGCATGGTATTCCATCCTCACGTGATATTCTCGTGCCTGTATATCAGGCCGTATTCAAACAGATGCGGGACCAGCACTGCAGATTCCTGACAAATGTACCATTGACTATACTAGAATCTTATTTGGATTCAAATTTCGAATGTGGATTTATAATAATAGGCAAGTGATGAATAAAAATATAGTTGAAGAATTTATAATAATGGTATAAACAAGAACCACTGCTCCTTGGGATTCAAAAATGTCCTAATTTTCATATTAGTTTGTTTCAAGAGAAAGAAATTGTATAAACAAGAACCAAACTTTGTAACTTAGCCATGGAAACTCTACTGTAGCTCAGAACTTTTGAAGAACGTTAGTAGCACTTCTTTTGAACTTTCTTATCAAAAGTTGAAGAACTTATAATAAGGAAAACTTTGAACAAGTTCTTCAGGTTTTGATGATAGAGTTCGAAAAAGGTATTAATAAAGTTTATGTCCATTTTTGTTTCCAGACACCACATTAACAAAAAAAAAGAACCCATGTTACATACAAAAATAAAGTTCGTCAGCAATTTATTCAGAGTGTCTACTCTGTAAAACAGAGTTCTGTTAAAACATACAAGTCCTTCGTCAAAATTCTGCAAAGTACGAGTGGGACATCCGAAAAGTTCTTGTACAATTCTGCCTACAAAATTACAATCTATGCAGGAACCAGAACAACTTGCTGGTCATGAAGACATGAACTAAAGTAAGTCAGGAGCCTGGCATGTTAACTCGTGTGGCAGACGTCGTCCAGCCTCCATTTCATCATCATCCTTGAAAGTAGGCAAGTTTAGAAAGATCAAATCAGAAGCAAGAAACAGAATAAATGGAAGAATAGTTGAATAGCACCCGCATCATACAAATTCATCACGCACTGGAGAACACAAGACCAAGAGCAAAAGTGATAGATCCATGTGCTACTAGATCCATGACGTAGCAACAATTTTGCACACCTGCAATCAAAATCCATATCAATTTGTAACACAAATCATGGGCAAGCAGGAAGAAGCGATCCCAATCCTTATTACCTAGTAATACAACTCCTAGATTTGGCAAGCGGGGAATGGGGGATTAACTGTGAGTAGTGGTCGGTGCTGATGTTGAGCCAGCCGGTGAGACGAAGTGGCGTCCGTGGTCCTCGGCAGCCGGAGGAGGCAGAACACAGCTCGTTCGTCGCGGTATCTGGTGCTAGGAGCCGTCAACGCATCGAATGCTTGGTGAGGGCGGACTACCAGATATGCACCGCACTGGGTGACGGCGAGCGATCCGGGGACTCCTCGCCGCACGCCGTGGTGGGGAGGAGGCTGATCTGGTCGGAGACCTTCAGATCGGGACGGTGGCTGGTTGTGGAAGAGGAGATGGAAGGGGCGGCTGGATCTGAGATGACGGAGAGAGAGGAGGAGTTTGGCTGGTTGTTGAGGGAACGTGTGAGCGGGGTAGGTCATAGGCATGGTGCAGATACGATTTGATTGTATTCCGGCCGTATGCCCGGAGGAAAATGGAAAGAGGGGTAATTGCGTGGGATCAGATGGTCCACGGTTGCTCGCATCCACATGTCCCAGCAACGGCGCCGATTCGCGTTGCGCGCAAACAGTTAGGATTAGCCATATTCGCTTAGTCAAAGTATAATTAAGGAAGAACATCCCATTTTTTACATGGTTAACGCATTAAAAAAGAACGCGGCCCAAAATTTAATTTAATTACCCTGAAACTTCATGAATGAATCATCCTACGCTTGCAGATGACCGCGTCGCATCTCCCCTACACCCGCAACGGGCTCAAGTTCTTCACCAAGCGCGGCGGGCTATCCTCGGTGGAGGTGGAAGGGATCTGCGACCGCGCTGCACGCAAGTACGTCGCGAGGAAGATGGGCCTCGGCGGCGGCGGCCTCGGCATGCCTCCGGTGGTCATGCGCGTCGACCTGATGAGCGCCTACGCGCAGCACCTCCGGGACATCATCAAGGAGCGCGTCGCCCACCCGACGCACTACGACACCCCGCTGGAGGGCTTCAAGGTCATCGTGAACGCCGGCAACGGCTGCGGCGGGTTCTTCGCGTGGGACGTGCTGGAGAAGCTGGGCGCCGACACCACCGGCAGCCTGCACCTGGGGCCGGACGGCATGTTCCCGAACCACATGCCCAACCCGGAGGACGCGACGGCCATGTCGCTGACGCGCGGCGCGGTGCTGGCCGGCGGCGCTGACCTCGGCGTGGTGTTCGACACGGACGTGGACCGCAGCGGCGTGGTGGACGACGCGGGGGCCGCCATCAACGGGGACCGCCTCATCGCGCTCATCTCCGCCATCGTGCTGGCGGAGCACCCCGGGACGACGGTGGTGACGGACGCGCGCGCGGGCGACGGGCTCACGCGGTTCATCGAGGCGAGGGGCGGGCGGCACTGCCTGTACCGCGTCGGCTACCGCAACGTGATCGACAAGGGCGCGCAGCTCAACGCGGACGGCGTGGAGACGCACGTCATGATGGAGACCACCGGGCACGGCGCGCTCAGGGAGAACCACTTCCTCGACGACGGCGCCTACATGGTGGTGAAGATCATCATCGAGATGGTCCGGATGAGGCTGGCGGGGATGGAGGGCGGGGTCGGCGGCCTCATCCGGGACCTCGAGGAGCCAGCCGAGTCCGTGCTGCTGAGGATGGACATCGTGGGCGAACCCAAGAGCGCGAAACAGCGGGGCGTCGAAGCCGTCGAGGCTTTCAAGACATACATCGAGGTGCGTCTCGAGAACAGTTTACTAACTACTGCTGCATGATCCATGAAGCTAGCTAGCGAATAATCGGAAGGTCTACGTACATTCTTCTGCTGATGTAGTCTTACATATGTTTCTCCACATGGTTTAGGAAGGGAAACTTAGCGGTTGGGTGCTGGATGATTGCGGGGACTGCTCGGTTGATGAGGGATGCCTTGTGGACAACAACGATCATCCAATCGACGTTGACGCCTACATGTACAGGTATGCATGCCCGCTGCTTGATTTGCGAAAATTTATACTAGGTCCTATGGATATAGGGCGGATATGTTTAACTAAATTTTCTCGTTGATTTGTGAAAGCAGAGCGAAGTTCTATGACGAGTCTCAGAGACCGCTCGGGTGGGTTCACATTCGCCAAAGTGTTCATAACCCCAACATAGCACTCAACTTGCAGTCATGTGTTCCCGGTGGTTGCAGATCCATGGCGGTGGATCTATTTGAGAGGTACTCCGTATTACTATGTCTACAACAACTACAAGTCATAATATTTACTTTGTTTTGACATAGTACTTAATAATATTGTTTGCTTCCTAATTGCAGGTTTTTGTTGACAAGTGGAGTAAATGAGTTCGTTGACACCAGCGAAGTACAGAAATTTGTGAAGTAGATCTTAGCCTTGCAACACTCTGTATATACGGGATTAATTCAGGACAGATCCTAGATGGCAATAAAAGAGCATACCTCTACATGCTGAAAATTGTATGGGGAATGCCTTTTGGTTCTCGGGTGTATATTCACCCTATATGGGAAATAAATTAAATAATTATGAAAAAGGTAAAGAAAAAGCAGACCTTTTTGAATAAACTTGACTTTCTTTTGCACTACTGTATAAATTTTCTCCAAGAAAAAACCCATTTCTTCTTCTTCTTTTTTTGCCCTGAAGGCAACGGCGGTTTTCCTTCATGGTATTTTTACGAGTACAATACAATGTTAACTTCATTTAAAAAAAATTCTAAATCAGAATTTTTTTACGTTTACAATTACTATCTTTTTGCATATAGGGCGTATATGCACCAAGAACCAAATGCTTGTATCTCATATTGCAGTGCCTACAATCTTCTCCCTCTTCAATTATAAATATTGTATTCTTTTGAACATAGAATAATCAATCCTATAATTAGCGGCGTGGATAGAAATATTAAATTTTAACACTATATAAGTGGTCATAATGATTTCTAACTAAGGTCATCTTTAAAGCGATGCCTCAAAGGGAGAGGATTTGTGGCACGCAGGGGCGGGGGCACATACATTGTAGGCTGCTGATCTGGGTCAAGACGCCCACATTTGTCTCTGTATTTCGTGTATTTGTCTTCGTATACCTGTACCTACGTATTTGTATTGAGATTTCAAAACGAAAGCATTACTTTGCGGGTCCGTTTTGAAAGGTACAAATATTTGGATGAACAGTGCCTGTAACAAGTGTCTACTAATGTAATGCCCTCGATGCGGCTATATCTCCCACGTGTCGAAGCACGACTTAGAGGCATAACCGCATTGAAAGCAATGTCGCAAGTGAGGTAATCTTCACACAACCCATGTAATACATAAGGGAAAAAGATACATAGTTGGCTTACAATCGCCACTTCACACAATACATGAATAAAGCATTACATCATCCAGATACAATCAAGGTCCGACGACGGAACCAAAATAAAAGAAGACTACCCCAAATGCTACACAGATCCCCGATCGTCCCAACTGGGCTCCACTACTGATCAACTAAAAAACGGAACAACATAACGAACACGGTCTTCATCGAACTCCTCCTTGAGCTCGGTTGCATCACCTGCACGGTATCATCGACACTTGCAAACTGGTTTTTGAAGTATCTGTGAGTCACGGGGACTCAGCAATCTCACACCCTCGAGATCAAGACTATTTAAGCTTAAAGTAGGGTAAAAGGTATGAGGTGGAGCTGCAGCAAGCAACTAGCATATTTGGTAGCTAACATACGCAAATGAGAGCGAGAAGAGAAGACAAAAGCACGGTCGAGAAACTATGATCAAGAAGTGATCCTAGAACAACCTACATCAAGCATAACTCCAACACCGTGTTCACTTCCCGAACTCCGCCGAGAAGAGACCATCACGGTTACGCACGCGGTTGGTGCATTTTAATTAAGATAAACTTTAGGTTTTCTACAACCGGAAATTAACAAATTCCCATCTGCCCATAACCGCGGGCATGGCTTTCGAAAGTTCAAATCCCTGTAGGGGTATCCCAACTTAGCCCATCACAAGCTCTCATGGTCAACGAAGGATATTCCTTCTCACAGGAAGACCCTATCAGGCTTGGAATCCCGGTTACAAGACATTTCGACAAATGGTAGAACAAGACCAGCAAAGCCACTCAGATGTGTCGACAAATCCCGATAGGAGCTGCACATATCTCGTTCTCAGGGCACACCGGATGAACAAGACGTCGGGTAAGCCAGCCCAGAGTTGCCCCTGGTGGCCCCGGACATCGCTCAGTTGGACCAACACTTAGAGAAGCACTAGCCCCGGGGGGGGGGGTAAAATAAAGATGACCCTTGAGTCTGCAGAACCCAAGGGAAAGAAAATGCTAGGTGGCAAATGATAAAACCAATGTTGGGCCTTGCTGGAGGAGTTTTATTCAAGGTGAACTGTCAAGGGGTTCCCATTATAACCCAACCGTGTAAGGAACGCAAAATCCAGGAACATAACACCGATATGACGAAAACTAGGGCGGCAAGAGTGGAACAAAACACTAGGCATAAGGCCGAGCCTTCCACCCTTTACCAAGTGTATAGATGCATTAATTAAATAAGAGATATTGTGATCCCAACAAATATCCATGTTCCAACAAGGAACAAACTCCAATCTTCACCTGCAACTAACAATGCTATAAGAGGGGCTGAGCAAAGCGGTAACATAGCCAAACAACGATTTGCTAGGACAAAGTGGGTTAGAGGTTTGACATGGCAATACGGGAGGCATGATAAGCAAGGTGATAGGTATCGTAGCATAGGCAATAGCAAAAGAGCGAGCATCTAGCAAGCAAAGATAGAAGTGATTTCGAGGGTATGGTCATCTTGCCTGAGATCCCGCAAGGAAGAAGAACGAGTCCATGAAGAAGACAAACGGACGTAGTCGAACGGATCCTCACAAACGCGACGTTATCGGAACTAACCCGAAGAAGCAACACCGGTAAGAAAGCAAACAATATGGTAAACAACCATCACATAAGCATGGCATGATGCACAACCAAGTATGATGCATGTCCGGTTTAAATATGCATGTCATGGCAAAGTGCAACAACCAAAACTACAAATTAAGTGGAGCTCAATATGCAACGGGTTGCATATTGACGGAACACCACATCAATTATTTAGTTCACTCCCGGTTAAGTACTCAATAATATTAAATGTTGGTTAACATGGCAATTTGGTGAAGCATAACAAAACTATACTATCTAAACAATTTAAATGGGGCCGGATATAACAAATAACGAATCCGGTAAATCCCCATATGCCTTAGTAATGTATTGCAACAACAATCTAAACATTTTAATTTTTGTTATCATGATGCGGATGACATGAACAAGTTTATGCAATTTTTATTAGAAGTTGACAAGAGCATTATGAAGCATTTGTCATCGTGGCGGAAACGGAAGGGGTGCCACGGCAACGAATCCGAAAATGATGCCACGGCAACATATCGGTTCCGGTAACTCGATAGAGATGCCGGTGAAAAGAACAAGTGTGCGGATGTGTGGAATGAGTTAGAGATGATGGGGTGATCCCGGTTACCGGGTGTCCCATGAGACGACGGTATGGCAACGTGGAACATGCAAGACACATGTCGGGCACGGTGCAAACGTGAGCATTACATACAACACAAGCAATCATTCTCGGACGGTCGTCTCGGGGTTATACCTTCCCAAAGGAGCATTCTCAGAGCGGTTCGAGTTCGATGCGGTGTAGGGGAAGTAGACGTTCTCGGGACGTTCGTAGTGGAAGTAGTCGTTCTCGCATGCTCTAGGGTCGATGGTAGAGGTTCTCGCGATCTCGACGACGGTAGTGGTACATGTTTATCGTAGCACGAGTTTCCGTAGATGTTCATGTCATCGGTGTCGTGGTACTTGGGGTCTTCGGACTTGCCGGTCCCGTTCTTGCGATGGTAGTCGTTCACGTTCATTCGGAGAGGTACTTGATGACTCCAACGTCTTCGGGGCGACGGTAGTGGTACACACGAGGGTAGACGAACTTGACGGATCCGAGGGCTCCGGACGTCATGGTACTTGTCGATCCGGGTCTTGAGACATACTTGGCATCAGTGCCTTCGAGGAACTCGGCGTGTCCAAAACGTAGCAGAACGAGGCCCCGGTTGCGGTCGTGTGGACGTTCAGTGAAGACGAACTTGCCGCTCAAAACCAAATTGAAAACCAGACCAAGGAGGTCTCGGGTGGGCAGCAGCAAGGCAGTTCAGGGCGTGGTGCGGGGCTACAGGCCGAGGTGGTACTTGGCGTTCACAGGGTTGAGCGGGACGCGGACGAAGCCGGGAGGCGAAGGCAAGGCAACGCGACGAGGCCTGCGCTCACCGGTGAAGCAGCGGCGGCAGCAGCAGCTTGGCATGGCGACGAGAAGGTCTGCAGGAGGCAGGACGGGCCAGAGGACATGGATCCCGTCGAAGGCGCGGCTCCGGGCGGAGGCAAGCGAGGAAAGGGAGCTCGGGGCGGTTGCATGCCTTCAGGAGCAAAGCGTGGGTGCGGGCGCGCGTGGAGAGGCTCGAGGTCGAGCTCTTGGTGCTCGACAAAGACGGCGCGAAGGAAGAGGAGCCCGGCAGGGGAACTGGCGGAGGAGGGGATGGAGGAGCTCGCTGAGGCGCGGCATCCAGAGAAGCAGCGGGCGAAGCCGACGCTCCGGCGTTGTTGCTCCTCTCCTCGTGGAGCTCCTGGATGAGGGGGCTCGGGAGCACGGCGCGCGAGGCTGCAGGAAAGGTCCGGCGGAGGTCAAAAACGGAGCAGCAGGGCGGAGGCGCCGCGCTCCGGGTCGTCGAAGTCCAGCAGGGCCGCGGCGGCGGCCCCCGGCGAGGAAGCCGAACGGAGTCGGGGCGAGGCGCAGGGAGATGGCGGCTCTGGCCGATCGTCCGGTCGCGGAGGACGAAGATTCGGCGGGGCACGAGGGTACAGGGCGGCGGAGGCTCTCCTGGTGCTTGATGTGAACATGCATGCGACGCTGCGGGAAGGAACTGGGAGACAAGGCGATGGATCGGGCGAGCGCCGTGCGAGCGGATCGAGCAGGGCTCTCCCTGGTTCGACGCGCGGGTGTGGGTGGCAGCGGATGGGAACGCGAGAGGGAGAGGGTGGTTTAGGTCGGGCCTAGTGGCTGCTAGGGTTAGGTCCGGTGCGGGCTGGGCCTGCGGGGGAGTTAGCCTAGGGAGGCCTAGTAGAGAGAGAGGGCTTAGGTGGGCTGACGGATGATTGAGAGGCCCAGAAGGCCAGATAGGCTGAATTCCTCTCTCTCATATCTGAAACAGGAAAAAAATAACAAAGAAGAGAAGAAAAAAGGAAGGAGGTGTTAGGGGAAGAAATTGGACAAGCGGATAATTTTCTTGGACTCACAAAAATGTGAGGAATTTAAATAAAATGGCAAGAGGATTTTTGGAGAACAATACATTCGCACATGTTGAATTTAATTCAACATGTTTGAATTTTGAAACCCATTCGAAAGGACTCTAAATGGGCTGAGATTTTTAGAGGAGCCTCGATAAAAGGGATGAGAAAATATTGGCAAGGTTTGAAGATCAAACTCGAAGAGGAATAGACATGGAAAATATTTTGCACGTGTGTTATGGGTGATTCCAAAGATGGAATATTTAATATAGCTCCCTACTATCGGAAGGGTATGTTATAAAGAGAAGTCACCAGGTGAATTCCCTCGGTTTAAATAGATGAAAGATCCATGCCATTTATTTAGTTGAGTTGCAAAAGATTTATGAGAAGATGGCATGGTGACATGATGCAATGCAAAAATAAGAGGGCAGGCACAAATGAAACACACGGCGAAACCCGAAATATATGGAAGTCTTCTCAAGCATCGGTCTCGGGGCGTTACAACTAAAATGGTAGCCTTGTGTTGAAATCGTTCAGTCTGTTCTTCTCTCTCCCTATCTGCTCTTGAAATACCCTCTGCTCCTCTTCTTATAACTCTTGTGTTCTAGCAGTAGTGCCACAGATGAGAAGGATCCAAGCTATTCTGTTGCAAGTAGCTCAAAGATGGGACGACGGAGCGACAATAGGAGTATTTCGTAGGCTTCTATGGCACATGTTAGTCATTGTTGTATCTTTGATGTTCGCACAAGTTTTGCATATGGTTGCTAGTTATTCAATCTTTTTTTTTCTTTTAGGGTCTTCTACTAGTTTGTCATATTTTAAGAACTTAGATCTTTGTTTTATCCAATCTTGCTAGTAAGGAAAAATTTGGCTGGTTCTTAGAACACAAATAACAAATAATGATGTACGTATGTGGTTTACAGATCTAGGACGTGATTGTAAGTATCGAAAATTAAAACTTAGAAACATCGGACAGTACGTTAGTTACGGACACCGAAACTTGGGGCATTATTTTAGTTGTACAAAGTGAAACTTAGAGCACTTGAACTGTTTGGTACCTTTTTTTGCGGATCAACTGTAAGGTACACTTAGAAGAATTCGAATACAGTTACTAAATATTTGAATATGGATTATTATATAAACATAAAACAAATGTACTCACATATGTATGTAAAATATAATTTAAGTTTGCAAAAATTAATTACATACGTGAATGTCACATACAGTAAGAGAATTACATTATGAATTTGACCTCTGAAAATCTAATTGTTTTATAAATATAATGTGTAATTTTGACATGAATGTCACATACAGTAAGAGAATCACAATATGAATTTGATCTCTGAAATTTTTATTGTTCCATAGATATACTGTATAAACTTTGAGAGACTTCAATGATTGATAGTTCACTGCAACAATAAATGTATGCATTAGTTATAATTTTTTTCTAGTTAACTTTGCACTGGTATAGTAGCACAACAATGAATTTGATAAGTTACTTGGATCAACAAATATTTTTTTACTTAATGTTACCGGTATAATGAATAATGTTGATATGAGTTCTCAGGCAGTTCAAGGATGATGAAGGCGTTTGCAACACGGGATGCTATCAAACTTGCTAATGATATGGGACGGTGACGGATCAAAATTGAAAGCGGTGCCCTAAAAGATGTTAATCTATGGAACTCTCAAACTTTTTCAAGAACCCACATTGCAGACCCTCTTCAGGAAATTAAGGAGCTGTGCGGGAACTTTATTAGCCTTGTATAACTTTGTTAGGTGTGAGGCCAATATGGCTGCTCACCTTTGCGTCTAACAGACTAGTGAGGTTCAACGGAAATGTCTCTTGATAAATTTGTAATTTTTTCTTCTGTAATCGTATTACCCATGAACGTATTATCTTTGAGTAATTAATAAAGCTCTTGAATTATAAAAATGGACCGCAATATCTGGAGAACGTTTTCCGGGGCATCTTACTAGCAACACCAAACTTGTCATGCCAAAACAACTGAACTGGCTATGGCAATTTAGTAGGATTTGCCATGATCAGAGACGAAAGTTGTCATGTAGTGTAAAATAAAGCAAAAAAGAAAATGCCACATTTGACAGAAAAATTACCGTTCGTTGAATCGTGATCAGACGGCTTTGAAGATGTTTGCTGGTAGCCTAAACACTATCTGACGTTCGTCAGTTATCATTTAAAAAAGTTCTTGTATATGAATTTGTTATCTCTAGAATATCATTTCCCCTTCCCTAAAAAAAGAATATCATTTGCCATTTTTTTTGGGTGCCCCCGCAGGGTCTTGGGTCCTTTCGTGCCGCTCTGCGAGCTCCTAGGGTTTCGCCACGCCGCCGTTGGCATGGCCGACTGGCCTCTCCCGTTCAACGGGGTGCGGCCAGACGCTGCGGAAGAAGGTCGCCTAGGGCCTCGCCGCCCAATGGATCCCGCCGCAAAGCAGGTCGCCCGAGGCAACAAATGGACCAGACATCCACAGCTCGGGGACCTCGTCCTCGCCAAGGTCAAGGGTTACCCTTTCTGGCCAGCCAAGGTCCAGCCTACACCCCTGCCCTGCCTGCTACCTAGGGTTTTCCTCCCCCATTGCTAGCCAATTCCCTCCCCCTCTGCTTCTTTCCTGGCATCTCTGCCTGCCTGAATTCTGATATGTCCAGGATACTGACCATGTGCTTCAGTCTCCGGGGTTAATGCTTGTTCTCTATGCAGGTGAGCAGGCCGGAGGATTGGAATCAGGAGCCTGCTCCACGCAAGTTCTTTGTTCTCTTCTTCGGCACCAAAGTGATGTAAGACCGCACTCATGCTCATCAGCTACTAGCCCTTTTCGTCGCCATGTTTAACAGAATTCTAACCGCCAGTTCTACCATGGATGACTTATCTGATACATAAATGCCGCACTGCGCCACACTCTTGATAAATGCATCACTTCATATTTGCCTTTTTGCATCGCGCATCTTTTCAGAGTCATCTAGCAGCTGCACAAAAACTAACAGTCGAGATCACTTGCAGGAGACACTAACACTTTCCTGTAGATATTTAGTTTTTTATCCCCAAATTATTGCCTCTAATCTGTCTAAGTTCATCTGTGTCGAGGCACCGCCACGTGTGGGTAAGTAGTTACAATTTTCTTTTCTTTTTTGGGAACACAAGTACTCTGTCTGCTATAATGAGAATATATTTCTTATTTTTGGCAAGATGAATTTTACTTACTAATTCATGAATGATGGAAAAATACATAAGTACTCCCTCCGCTCACAAATATAAGATGTTTTAACTTTTTTCTGAATCGGATGTATGTAGATCCGTTTTAGTGTGTTTGTTCACTCATTTCAGTCCGTGTGTAGTCCATATTGAAATATCTAAAACATCTTGTATTTGTGAACAGAGGGAATACTATTTGAGGCCTCCACCACCACACTCTGTTATCATAAGACAAAACGATCATTTGATTCTGATTTAGAATTTTCAGTTTTCATTCTTCCTATGTTATTTTGCCTGATTGATACTTCATCTGACTTTGGGATTGGGTGGGCATCAATTAGATATTCTTCGGTATGTCTTTGTCTATACTAAATCTCCATATTATGGTGCAAAAGTTTAAGTCATGTGATTATTGGCTCCCCCAATGATCTAAGGTTATGCATTGTTGTGCAAGGTCAGTCTAGGAGGTACAATTATTCATAGACCGAAAGATGAAAGTAGTACTTTTACTTTAGTTGAATTCTAAAGTTAACACTATTTCTTTCTAATTAGAGTAGTGTTTTTGATCATTTCAAAAAAGAAAAGAAAAAATAGTAGGCTTTTCGACTATTCATAATTACTCGTGACCATTCCTATGGTCTTTCATTTTCTCTCAGGTAGTAAAAATGAGAATGTTTTAAGTTCTATTGTAACTTAGCCCGTGCAGCAAACTGGCCTAGAGATTGTTGACTATTTTATTCTCTTTAGATCTGTTTAAATTACTTTGGTGCTAATAGAATAACTAAATAACTAAATTTGATTTATTCAGTCGGTTGATTTAGCTTATAAGGCCATATCCAATGCAGCAACGCTTAATTAGACGCTTACGGAAAGGGAATGTATTTTCGTGGAATGAAGCGCCGACTTATGAACCTAGCCTCCAATGCATTGAGCGATTGTGAGACACTTAGATAGTTAAAAAAACAATCAAAAACCCACTTAGCGTGCACAGGATTCGGCCGAAACGCCCAATGCAACGTTAGGCATTGACACAAGGGATACGACCAGGAATCATGCCGATTCTGCCACAACGGCCAGGGATTAGAACCTGGCACCTACCACAAGCGCCTCCGTTGGAGATGATGGCCTAAGGTTCTCTCTACGTCGAGCCTTTATTTGATTGCTTTAAAACCCTGTAACCATTTCCTCGGGATACAAATTGGTTTGTTGTCATTGCTGTCTTCCACATCTGTGTTCTCTTTGCTATTTTTAGCTTATTGTAACAACTCTTTGAAGGTTAAAGTATAAGTATTACTTTTTTGCTAATGAAAGAATATCTCCTGCAGTGCTTTTGTAGCTTTGCATGATCTCTTGCCATTTACGGAAGAGGTGATGAGTGACCTGGTAAATAAAGCTCGAGAGAAACAATTCCCGACAAGACATGCGAAAGGTCTTGAAGAAGCCTTGGTGGAGGTACAGATGGCCTACGATGAACTCCCAAAATCATCTGAAACTTCCAATGGTTTGTTTCCTAATCGAACTCCTGATCCGATTGAAAAACCTACAAAGCCCCTTGTAAAGCCACCTGCTGATGGCGGGACTCAAAAACTGGAACAGATTGATGATTTCCATGGGAGGTACCTGAGCCTCAAAAGAAAAGAGAGAGATGTCCCAAAATCATCTGAAACTGCGAATGGTTTGTTGCATGATCGAACTCCTGATCCGACTGAAAAACCTACGGAGCCCCTTGTAAAGCAACCTGCTGATGGTGGTACTCCAAAACTGGAACAAGCTGATGATTCCCATGGGAGGTACCCGAGCCTCAAAAGAGAAAAGAGAGTTCGGTTTGCTGGCATTGAGGAGAGGAACTTGGAGGATCCCTATGGCATACCAAAATGCATTGCTGCGCTTGAAGGATTGCCGGATTTACAAATGGAAGATGTGCTAAAAGCAGCTGACCTCTTCACCGACAACAAGGGTAATCGCGAAGTCTTCCTCTCTTTTTCAAGTAATGCATTACGGCTTGGCTGGGTAAGAAGGAAAATTCAGAACGCCTCATGAAATGGCTATGGAAATATGCCCCCTGGAGAAGACCTTTTGTATGCGGTTCTAGACACTTGTGGTGCTAAACTAATGCAATGTTAGTGGTAGCAAATTAGCATCTTAGTGCTAAGGTGTAGGGCTAACTTTTGTGTGTATGTATCCCTGGGCAGGTGTGCTAGTACTAACGCAATGTTAAGTGGCGCTTGATCACAAATCCTTTTAATTTAATTGAATATAACTAGTTGCATCATGAACCAAGCTGTTCGAGATTTATTACATATGGTTCATCGCCTTGCGACGTAGCCCCTTTTGCCATGGCATCTCGCATGTTTATTCCCAGCTTGCTGCATATGCTGTCAGATAATGGCACATCAACGATGTGTTGGGCATCTCCATCTGGTACATCGTGCATATTACTTTCTCTTGTATCTTCGGTATATCTCTCAGGTGATGACTTGTCACCATTAAGTAGCCGTATATGAAATTGTGCATTGCACAACAAGCCGTAGGGATGTCAATTCTTTGTAGGATTGTGGCTTTTGCTGGGCTCTTCTTGGAAATGAATGAGCAAGGAATTGAGGTCCGTTGCAGAGCACGTCCACATGTATATATATATTCTCCCCTAAAAAAAGTATATATATCTTCTCTTCTAACTAGAAAAATGTAACGTTCCCTAATACGCTTCTTCTTTCGTCAAGCCGTCCTTAGCCGGGCGCGCCCATGTCTCGTTCCTGGCGAATCCTCATTTGATGCCTGCACACGTGTATTTTGCAAACGGGCGCTGCAGGCGCCCTGCGCTGGGCCGGCCCATATAGATTTTTTCTTCTGTGTTTTTAATCCCCCAAAAATGCGCACACTTGTGGTGATTCAAACCAACGACCTCCCTCTTCAATACGGATTGGTGCAACCACACCACCAACCAGCCGGATCTGGTTAATTAGAACCTAGTTCTAAAAAAAGGTTAATTAGAACCTTTCCTTCCTTTTATTCTTTCTTTTCCGTTTTCTCTTTTTTAATTTTGATCATTTTGCCTTTTCCTTTTTTTGCTTTCTATTTTTTCTTTCATCTTCTTCCTGGGTCAATGAATTGTCTTGCATATACGTGACTTTTTCTTCAAATCAATGAAATTATTTTGAAATTCGATGAACTTTTTCAAATTGATGAACTTTTTCCAATTTTTTGTGTAATTGTTTTCAAATCTATGACTTTTTTCATTTTTCTAATGAATTGTTTTTCAAAATTTATGAAATTTTTTCAAATCCGCTGAACTGTTTTCAAATCGATGAACTTTATTTTGGATTCCATGAACTTTTTCTAATTACGATGAACTTTTCTAAGTTTTGACGAAAATTTTCCAATTATGATGAACTTTTCTCAAATTCGTTGATTTTTTTTTCAGATTCGATGAACTTGCTTCAAATTTGATGAAATTGAAAAAACAATAATTTTTTTTCAAATTCGGAGAAAGATCATGCATTTTGAAAAGAGTTTCTTTGATTTTTTTTTTTGTAAAAGTGCACGCATTTAGCAAAAGCAGGAAAGAAAAAAATGCGAACAAAACCGTTACTGAGAAAGAGAAAAAAGAAAAAAAGACGGTTTGGGAAGCATCAACACCAGGGGCTTCGCGGGGTGGAGAAAGAATAAAAGGAAGCAAACGAGAATAGTGACCATGGGTCGTTTGATGTCGTAGTGGTTGGGGCACTGCTATGTGAAGGTGAGGTCCCGGGTTCGGATCCATCCGGTTCCACACGCGCACCCTCTTTTCCTCTTTATTTATAACAGAAAAAGAGAAAAAACAAATGTGCCGGTCCGCTACGTGCCCTTGTCAGCGCCAGCATCTCTAATCGGCGCTAAAGCGTTGACTAGGAGCTCCCCTCGCTTCTAGTAAAGCGTAGGCCGCGCTCGCGTCAGGCGCTTCCCTAAACTGCCTTGTTGCTTTTTTGTTCCCATAAACATGTATTTTCTTCTATTTTTTCATGTTTCTTGTTTTATTTTCATTCCTGATTAAGCTCCAAATATTCATATATATATATATATATATATATATATATATATATATACATACATACATAAAATATTTGCAAAAGGAATGGAAAAGTGGAAACTCAGAAAGAAACAAAGAAAAATGAAGAAATATTGATAAAAACCAACAAAGAAACACAGAAAAATGAAGAAAAGTAAGAAAATAGGACATAAAATAAAACCCCATTAAAATAGAGAAGGAATTAAAACAAAAAGAAGAGAAAAAACCTGTAACAAACAGAAATAAAAATAGAGTGAACCGGTGGAAAAAACCCAGAGAAACTAGTGAATAAAGAAAGAAGAAAAAAAGAGTAAAACCCAATTATGAAAAAAGCTTGTTTCCATTAAAAAATGGTCGCCGTGTGCAGAAAAATGTTGACCATGTATTAAAATAATATTAATGTAGGCCGCGCTCGCGTCAGGCGCTTCCCTAAACTGCCTTGTTGCTTTTTTGTTCCCATAAACATGTATTTTCTTCTATTTTTTCATGTTTCTTGTTTTATTTTCATTCCTGATTAAGCTCCAAATATTCATATATATATATATATATATATATATATATATATATATACATACATAAAATATTTGCAAAAGGAATGGAAAAGTGGAAACTCAGAAAGAAACAAAGAAAAATGAAGAAAGATTGATAAAAACCAACAAAGAAACACAGAAAAATGAAGAAAAGTAAGAAAATAGGACATAAAATAAAACCCCATTAAAATAGAGAAGGAATTAAAACAAAAAGAAGAGAAAAAACCTGTAACAAACAGAAATAAAAATAGAGTGAACCGGTGGAAAAAACCCAGAGAAACTAGTGAATAAAGAAAGAAGAAAAAAAGAGTAAAACCCAATTATGAAAAAAGCTTGTTTCCATTAAAAAATGGTCGCCGTGTGCAGAAAAATGTTGACCATGTATTAAAATAATATTAATGTTGTATTTTGTAAATGTTAAATATGTATATAAAATGTAGATATACAACAAAAATGCAGAATATGTTTGGAAAGAAATAGACATAAAGTGCTTTTCAAAAAATATTAATCATGTATTTAAAAAATATTCAACATGTATATAAAATATATTTCTGATGTATACGAAAATATAGAATGTGTATCTAAAAAAGTTGACATGTGTTGACCTTTGCTAAAAATGGACAAAGAAAATGAAAAACAAAGAAATCCAATAAAAAAGCAAAAAAGGAGAAACAAAGAAAACCATAAAAGGAAAATGGAAACCAAAGAAAGCTAATGGAAAGGACTGGAAAAAGTGAAAACTGGGAAATAAACAAAGAAAATGAAGAAAAACCGATAAAAACCAACAAAAAAATAGAAAAACAAAGAAAAAAAGAAAATAGGAAACAAAATAAAACCCCACTAAAAGCAAAGAAGAAATTAAAATAAAACCAAAAAAGCAGATAAAAAACCTGTAAAAGCCAGAACTAAAAACAAAGTAAACCGGTGGGAAAACCCCTAGAGAAACTCGTGAAGAAGAGAAGAAAAAAAATAGAGCAAAACCCAGTTATGAAAAAAAGTTTGTTTCCACTAAAAAATGGTTGCCATCTACAAAAAATTGTTGGCGATGTATTAAAATAATAGTAATATTTTATTTTAAAATGTTAAATGTGGATATAAAAATGTGGATATACAAGAAAATGCACAATATGTTTGGAAAAAATTAGACATAGAAAGTAATTTTCAAAAAATATTAATCATGTATTTCAGAAATATTCAACATGGATAGAAAATATATTTTTTTATGTATACAAAAAATATAGTATGTGTATCTAAAAAAGTTGACATGTGTTGAACAAAAAAAGTTGTTAAAATGGACAAAGAAAATGAAAAACAAAGAAATGCAATAGAAACCAAAAAAGACAAATAAAGAAAACCATAAAAGAAAGCTAATGGACAAGAATGGATCGGCCCAAGCTTATTTGCCTCCAAGACCAGCCAGCCAGGCCCCACTCAACACCGGCATTTTCAATTCGGCACGTCAGGCGATGAGCGCACCCCTCCCTCCCCCCACTC